TGAATTGCCTCGTGGACAAATCTCTGATAAAAACCCGTGGGTTTGCAGAGAACCTTGGTATTGGAGAAAACTATATCGTGATCACCCACAGCGTTGTAACAGTGATCATTGGGGCATTCTGTCTACAGGAAACCCACCCACACAGATTCCTACTTGAAACCTGATTCCCACCACTACCCAGCTTAAAATAATTCTCTCATCAAAACTTTATACCATAGGGCTCATTGCATTTCGGACCAACACCACCTGACCAGTGAATTAAAACATGTACACCTGGCCCTCAAGAGAAACGGATACTCTGACCATACCATCCGCCAAGCTGTTTCTCCCACCATACAGAAACAACCACTTGATACTCCAGTCAAAACCATCACACTACCATATATAGCAGGCGTTACTAAAAAGATCTCCAAAATTCTAAACAAACACAAGATCCTGGTCCGGTTCAATACAGTACACAAAATCCGTGACCTGATCCCATCCGTGAAGGATGTCGTTCCTGACTTACAGTACCCCGGGGTTTACAAATTGAGCTGCACCTGTGGTGACTGCTATATCGGGGAGACGAAACGACATGTCTCTGACCGAATTCGCGAGCACAAATCAGATTTGAAACACGGCAGAACGAATTATTCTGCCGTAGCTGATCACTGTTACAACGCTGTGGGTGATCACGATATAATTTTATCCGATACCAAGGTTCTCTGCAAACCCACGGGTTTTTATCAGAGACTTGTCCACAAGGCAATTCAGATTTACAAACACAGACACAATTTCAACTGAGAGGATGGTTTCAAATGAAGCAATCATTGGAAAGATGTTCTAAATCAAACCAAACATTAAACTAATTTTCAATGGTACAGTATATTTTTTCAAGTAGTGGTATCCCAAACTTTCACAGTAGCTCATTTCACTTCACATCAACATTATGTAAACTCCCCCCCCCCCCCCCCCCCCCCCCACCGTGCCGGTCCAGTACATCATTTTATGCTAATTCCTTTGTCAAGGCGTTTTTTGTTTCCTCCCACACAGCTTAAAGAACGCGACCTGGGCTTGGCTGTCTTCACTCTAACGCTGTCCTCTGGACAGTCCGGTCCCTTCAACTGATGAAGGTCACTTGTGTTGTGGCCGAAACGTCGTGATTTTTGTTATTTTATTTTTACCTACGTGACTTTACCGAATAGAACCAAAGAGTATGGATCATTGATATTTAAATAATGTTTCTTGAAATATGAACACAAGCTTGTTTAGTATAACATGAATCAATCTTTCCCTTTCAGTCTTTTTAACTTCTCAATGCTTGTCATGTAATTCCTGTACCTTTTTCCCTTTCTCCTCTCAAGTAATAATTCTGAACTCTAAGATGTACTCCCAATTTGTTTCAGTAATTCTACTGTTAAAAGCACATATAAAACACAGGTTTTGTTTTTTCTATTGCACCTTTAATGAGTTCTTTCTAGGAACCTTTATATGTTATACTCGTGGTTGCCTTATTAAAATGTTATTTCATAAATAAAAAATGTGATTCCAAATAGATGGACATTCACTCCTTTTGTACAACAAATACAATGTAAGCAGAATTAAATTAAATCACAGCTATATTGCACACAACCTTCAGCACCACATAACCTTAATACATGCAGTGTGATGCATGGGATGTTACTTTCCCGTGCGTGGCTGAAATTGGATTGTGCAACATGGTCAACTTTATAGAATTCAATGTTGATTTGAAGCCATATTTCCTGATGATGACTGCTTGTGTTGCAGTCGAAACGTCGTGATTTTATTATTCTTTTTTCTACCTACGTGACTTTACCGAAAGAACCAAAGAGTATAGTTTCATAGAATTCCTTTTTAAATTCCCCAATGGTGACTGAAGGAAAATTTCATCCAGGAATGGATAAACCATGGCCGATGATGAACGTGGTCAACAACAGCAAGTTACTCGCAATCCAAGGTTTCACTGTACTCGCCAATCAATAATAGTAAAGATGTAAAAAAAGGGTTGGATTTGTGAACATTGATAGAAAATGACAGTCACACCGTGCAATATTACCGCACTGGGTGTAGTATAATTGGTCAAGGCGGATGTCACCTATCATCATTTAAAAGTGATTGAGCATACAATTGTACATACAGTTATTGAATACACTTTGGACATAATTCAAATCTTTGCTAAGCCACTGAGCAAAAACACCGAATTCTGTGTTTGGCAATAGCCGAGACCATTCATGGCCCCTTCCCACGTATTCCCATTAGGGAATCACGTGCGGGTGTGAACCAAGTACGCGCGTGCTGGTCACGCAATTTTGTTGGGGGCCGACACCCTTGCATATAATTTAGGGTCGTTAAATGACACGAGGTAATCCATTAACCGTTTTTAGAATCGATTACCAGTCGGAAATGTCGGGAACGGTGCCGTTTACAGTGGAATATTCGCGATTGCATTTATAGGTAAGTGGAAACATTCAATCTGCACAGCGGCCTAAGTAGATCATTTCTCAGTTAAAAGTGCAGTCCTGAAATTATTTATTTGCTCACTTCACCGCTGGCGAAATAGCCGTAATTACACGCAGTTCTATTGCGTATTGTCTCCTCTTCCACGCTGACCAAATATTGGACGAGGTGAACGTACCCACACTTTATCCCACCCACATACAACCTTGCCAAACGATTGTGGTGTAACTGTGGTGTCACAGCAGCGAAGCCGCTCCGTCGGAGCCATGCCTGCAACTGTGATGCCGAAACAGCGAAGCCGTCCTGCCGACGCCGTGGCCGCGATGCCGCCACTTCCGAGCGACGGGGCCGACGCTGCTGTTCCTTCACCACCCCCACATGAACACACACACACCCCCACATAGAGCCCCGAAGGGAGGTCACCTGGCTGACAGGTTTTCACCCAGAAGCCCTCTCACGGGACCAATCTTCACAATTTCCTGCGACCAGGGAATTGGGCGACCTCCCCCGAGGCTAACTCACACCGCGGCGCCGTGACTTGGGTTGTAATTACATGGTCACGACGGGGCTGCTCAGCCACCGCAGGTAGAAAACACACACAACACACACGGGTCAGCAGGCAGGTAGGGGGGCGGAGTCACGAACGGCGGGAAAACAGGGCCGGTCCTCTGATTGGTAGGACAGATGCGCTTGTGTAGAGGGTAAAATGCGGATGTCTGAGAGAGCACCGGCCCGGGGAGAGTGGCGGGAAATCCGAGCCACCTGATTGGCCGGGAAGGCCAGCGGATCAGCGCCAAATTATCTTTGATGTAGGGAACAATAAAAAGCGAGAGAAGGTAGGGATAGGAGAGTCACCTTCTTCTCAAGTCAGGGATCGTGGTAGTCACCTTGCCGGCCACTGGATCGTCAGTGAGACGAGTCACAGCGCAGCCCGGCCCCGCTCCCAACGAGAACGTCGAGCAGCCTCGCCTCTCCTTGGCTTCCCGCACATCCAAGGCAAAACGTGAGTACGAAATAAAGAGTTGGGATTTAGGGTAAGATCCTAGGGAGTTTAATTCTAATGGGACGAGGTAGATCGGATTAGACCATCAGGAGATAGGTTAGACCTGCCCTGCTGACTCAGACTGATTTGGGTGATAGTAGCTCGCAGACACGCCAGGAATAAATCGTCAGTGATCAATAAACCTTGTCGTGTGGTTTCTGCGAGTGTGGAACGGGCGCATGGTGGTGTGAGTCCGCTCGTCGTGGTATGGGGATTTGCGCGTGGGTAACTCTGTTGAGGCGGCCATTGTGTGCGCACCCGACCAGGGTTCCTGCGTCGTTGTACCCTGTGTTTGCGCACGAGTGTGTAATTACCCACGTGTTTGTGCTCGCCCATACGTGTAGCTCGTGGTTAGCGTGTGTGGTGAGCAACGGTGGATTCGCCAGGGTACACGTGAGATTATTCATACAGCCCTTTAAATAATCTCCGAGACACCCCCTCCAATCGGCAACGTGTGTGCGAAGGACGTCATTACCCTCTGACCCCTGACCCCCGTTCAGCACATGTGAGTGGTGCGCGGGGTTGTGTGAGCAGAGACGTCGCGTTTGAGTGGCTGAGAAGTGACGGATTGATTTAAGGCAGCCATGCGCCAGCCCTGAGCTATGCCCCACAAACAGGGCCCGCGGACCCGAGGGGCTGTGCTGCAAGGAGAGGAGACGGAGGGCGGTAGCACTCCCCCCACGAGCGAAGAGTCAAATAACGGCGGCTCTCACACGAGCGAGAGGTGCGGAGCCCGCAGCCCTACCGAGATCAGCCTTCCCCCGGAGGGGGAGCCGGGGGCCCGCGTCCCCCACATAACCATTTATACTATATCGCGGTCATCAACAGTGGAGCTTTAAGAAACGGCAATTGAAATGGGGAAGACATTTTCCCATTGCAACTGTCGTGGTGTGTGGGTGACATGCTCCGTTGTCACACCACGGATGCTCCCTTCATTCATCAGTGAAAACGTTAATGTTTATTGCTAGATATGTCTCTACAGTATGTGCAAAAACACGTCTTACCCGTTTTTTATTCGGTTATTGTACCGGTAATGCAACAAAAAACAGATTTCAAAAACCCTCGTATGATGGTTCCCAATAATTCAGACGTTCCAAGCCGAGCAATCAGCAGTAGCCCGCAATACAACGCTCCCTATGGGAGGCGCTACATTTGTGCTGCATCTAAAGCAGTGGTCCCCAACCTTTTTGGCACCAGGGACCGGTTTCGTGGAAGACATTTTTTTCACGGACCGGGGTGGGGGGGGGGGGGGGTCATCATTTGGGTCTTTCCCCCTTTTCAAAGAAGCTCCCCAGCGACGTTTGTTTTTTTTTACATATTTTGGCTACTAGGGGTTAGCTTGTGGGCGTAAACAAAACTGCGACTGAGACAAGTGCGCAGTGCCGGAAAGAGGCGCAGGTGGAAGTAATAATGGGGGCGGGCCACACGCGGACTCACCGCTCTCACCTCCCGCTCTGCGGCCCGGTTCCTAGCAGGCCACGGACCGGGGGTTGGGGCCCCTTGATCTAAAGAATCGGATTTTTTTACGAATCCACTTATTGTGTTTTCCAGAGTATACTGAACTGATAGAGTCAATAGAAAGTGGGCAAGTGTAAATTCTCGTTTCAAATGCTCTGAAAGTATGTAACCATTAAATGTTCTGAAAGTATGTAACCACATTTATGGTGAACGAACCGTAACAGAATTGAGCATGCTACGTCTAATGTGTGAAAAGGAAGCATTTTGTGTGGATATAACACACATTTTGTGGCATTGTTGTTAACCACAGATTAGTTTATCATTTAAGTACGACTAACAATATCAGGAGGGGCGAAATTAAGCAGGCTAGACGTGGTCGTCAGCAGCATACTAATGGTAACAGGTAAAAAAAACTTTTTCACAGATAAAATAGGTGCACACGTCGTAATAGTATTCCATGCATTGTGGTATTTTTATACTTTATAAACTTACTCGTTTTACTTCATGAAATAATTAACAGACTAACGTGTGCATTTACCTAAACGAGCTTATAAATGCAGTGTATGTACATAATGTGGTATTTGAATACATATTTTAAAACAATGGCAATCAATTGAAAGTCACTATTCATGACACAATGCGCTCGTGAATTGTTTGTATATTTTCTGTCACAACTCAAAAAAATACGCAAGAATTTTTTAAGTAGTGATGGAACTTTACTACCTACGACTCGTAGACTCGTGACACCATGCCCGCAGAACATTTATCATCGCAAAATTTTTGCATAAAATACATTTCACTTCCTTGTATGTCCCTGGATATATAGAGGCTGCGCGTCGGTCATTTGACAGTGTGTTGAAAACCCCAATCAATAAATCATGGTCACTCTCCTGATCTTCACTTTCCTGCTGAATCAAGGTATTCACATATGTATTGCTCACAGTAAGATTAGTTCGCATTCTAGTTTTTTTTCATGTAACTACTAAATTATTTCACCAGGAGTGTTTGTTACTCACATGCTTTTCTTTCCACAGCATTTGTCTCGGCTCAGACTTGTGGTTTTTCTGCGACTCCACAAAACCGCATTGAGGGTGGTAATGAGGCCACTCCTCACAGCTGGCCTTGGCAGGTATGAGATCAATTCAAAATTTCAGGATTGTGACAGTATAATTAGTTTCTTAGATGTGAAGTTCTGCATTCACACCCGGGATGTAGACAAACAATAGTGTTCTTAGGCTACTTTTTTCAAACTTCAGCACGCTGATCCCTGCGTATTGGTGAAGGTGGAGAACATAGACATTCGAACATAGAAACAGTACAGTGGGTTACAATTGGCTCTTTACAGCTCTCTCCGATTATAAACAACACGGTACAATTAATTGACACATTATGGAAATTTGCCAGCCAGTTTATACTCACAGCTGAATATTGATTTGCATGATTTACGTTCTTATTTGACCTTGAGACTGTTGTATATGTGGGTGTGTGAAAATTGATGAAAAGTAATGAAAATTAAATGAAATTCGAAATTTGCATAATTAATCCAAAATTATGTTCATTCGTGTAATTATGCGTATAACTATGCTAATTAGAGACGTAATCGTATTAATTTATACGAGTGGGTGTGGTTGTGTTAATTATAGCCTTTATGATAATCAGGCCCCGCCTCGTTGACGAGGTGGGGTTATCAATCAGGATAACGCAATCAATCGTGTGCTGTTACGCTAGTGTCAATTCGGCCTCGTTGTCTAACTTCGTATTATTGATCAGCATAATACAATGATTCTCGCTTTAACACTCCCCGAGTGTTCATATTTTAGGTCCCAAGTTCATATCATTCGCTTTAGTTTAATGAGTGTGGATTGGTGTGTTTATAGTTTAGGTTCCCGAGTTCATATCTCATCGCAGGATACAGATCTTATGCAAAAATTTCAGGAAAGAATCACACGACCACTTCTGTATTAATCAATTTATTTTCTAATTAAACCTTAACTATAATATGTATGTGAACTCTCAATCTCAGAACTTCAACACGGTATCCACACGGTATCAAGACAGTCTCATCCACGACTGTACGATTTCACTTTGATAACACATGGACCCCGCATAAAGCGATTGCTGTTCGTGAGAGAGAGAGTTAGAACATGCCAATGCTATGCTACACAAAAGCTTATACATTATAATATGAACGATCATTATGCTTGAAATGGTCAGCACATTATCACAGGCGATTGATTAACCTGCAACGGTATTCATATAAAAAGACAATCAAACAGTTATTATTTCCAAAGGCATAAATGTAACAACAGATCCACCGGACAGACTATAAGATTACCGAAATGGCTTATGTGTGAGGGTGTGTGGCGGAACGTGTTATCTCACGGGAGATTAATTAATTCGTGAATAAGATTGTATGATCAGAAAATCGGTTTCGCACGATTCCTCCCCGGGAGCGTAGCTCCGTGGCGAAGGTGCCAAGGATTAATTCGTATTGATGGATCGGTTGGTAACTTATGCGATTAGAAGTACAGTCCAAAACAAAATATTAAAGAGGGAAATTACGAATATACTTATAAACGACGGACTGTTATCACACGATCGATGCTTCCACGGCCAGATGGTTCACGGACTTGAGTGTGTTTGTGTGTGATGAATTGTGTGGAGTAGTCATTGTTTGGAGTTGAGTCTTTAGGTCCAGCGAACGTCAGATTGGTCGTGTAGTGGGGCATAGCGCATCATCGTATCGTGGAGTTCTCTTCATAGGGTAATGTGAGTGTGGTTGGTCTTCTCGCGTTAACATACGTCGACGTGTCCCTTGTATGAAAGGGATACTCGCTCCCTTTAGAGCGGTCAGGGTGAGTGGGGGTTGTGCATCATACGTATCGGCGTTCCCTTCTCCACACAGCAGCCAGCCTCTGTCCACGGGAGAGAGTTGCTTGATCGCTCTCAGTGCTGCTCAGTGGACACCTCTCTCCACTGCTGGATGAGCTGCGCGATCACGCTCGTGTTGGTTCGCTGACAACAGTTTCTCTCCGCTGCTGGATGAGCTGCATCGGCACGCTCCCTCTCTCTGGGTGGAGAACTCGAACGTGCTCGTTGCTGGTTTGCTGAAAGCAGGTTTTTCTCCACTGCTGGATGACTCAAGTCGCACGTGCTCTTGCTCTGGTTTGCAGAAGCTCTTGCTTGGTGCGTCGGTTGCTCTGCAGCTGGACTCAATGTAGAATAAACTTCCAGCAATACTCTGTCTTTCAGCTCTTGGAAATCACACTAGGTGACGCCTCACTACCCTGCGAGTCTTGCCAACGTCAGTGGGTAGCGACGGGCCACTTTGGCCTCTGCTCGCCGCCCCCTGCTCTGCAGCTCGCCGGCTGGCGACCTGTTGCTCTCGTTCCCGATTTGAACTGCTCCTGAGCTGACTCACTGGTCGAACTCCCCGCGTTCCGACCCCTCCGAGTCGAACTCCCCGAGTTCCGACCCCCCTGGTCGAACTCCCCGAGTTCCGACCCCCCTGGTCGAACTCTCGAGTTGAACTCCGAGTCGAACTCCCCGAGTTCCGACCCCCTGGTCGAACTCCCCGAGTTCCGACCTCTTCCGAGTCGAACTGTCTCCCGAGAGTCGACCCCCCGGTCGAACTCTGGGTAGCCGACCCCCCCCCCCCCCCCGGTCGAACTGAGGTTTCAATGCTCAGGATCCTCTTTTTATGCCCAAAAATCCTTTCACTCGGATCCTGCCCACAAGGCGGGGTTTCTTTCTATTTTTGCTGTGTCAGGACTTGTCCGTATGTATCTGCGTCCGTGTGTGTCCGTACATGTGTCAGTGTGTGTCATTGTGTGCATCACCCACGGTATATTCCGTTGTCATACTCCTACCATAAAACCCACAAGTAAAACAATCAAATGTTATAAATTGTCTCGAAGGCGCCTCTCTGTCTGGGTGCACAACCTGGAGGGAGGGGCGATATTCCCTCCGACTTTCACCGACGCACAAAGAAATGGTTAAAAAGTTTTAAGTTAACATTTCATTTCATCAGAGTTCCACAGTTATGATTCTGTATTAATCCAAGGTCTGGGTCAGCTTCCCGTTGTGGTGTTTGACTCGTGTTTCCCCGAGCGTATACACACTCCTACTCCGCGCTGCGGGGATATAAAGACGGCCGGGATCTTCCTTTCTCTCCGACCCTGGGTTTAACATCGCCCTTTGCTTACGTTGCAGTTTTGCTGTGCGCTTGCATTTCTTTTCCTCTCTACTCTTACTTTAACCCGGCTTATTATTTGCGTATGGGTGGATTAGAGCATTCATGTTGACTTAGGAAAACCTGATTGTTAGGCTTCGGGTCAAGTCGTATAGAAATTATTAAAATATGTAAATACATTTCATATTAAATTAATAGACGGGTGATGGTTACATTGACGTAGCTTGTGGCAGGGTTCAATTAAAGTGGGTGTGAAGATCAATAACTTTAGCCTACCCTGTCATTAAATTCCGACTTTAAGTTACTTTAATAGTAATGCAGAACCAATTAGCTTTTTTGACTTAACTAGATCTAGGCTAACGCAACCTCCCAGTGACCCTGGCTTTGTGTTTACGTCAGCCCCTTGCAATCCGTTGCGCTCTGCTCTCTATCTGCTCCCTCTGACCCTGGGAGGGCTCTGAACGTCAAAATCGTGTTAGTGGGTCAACGTAAATATGACCTCCACATGCCATGCTGAGGCCTGGTTTGGTGTTTTTATTCATTATTAAAATTAAAAGAAACAATAGAAATATGTATCTATATGTATTGAAAAATTACTTGTTAATATTAAGATGGAAAGGGGGGCATATACAACAAGACAACATCTTATTTTCATGGGACAGCTAACTCGAATCAACTCAGTCAGCCCGAGTTGACCTAATTTTTCTCAAGTTTAAAAACAACACATCTATGATGAACTCTAAGCGATATTAATAAAGACCTGTAACATGGATCACTAAAAGAACACAGGGCGATTTGTGTTCATTCGGTTCTGACCTGACCTCTGCCTCCATTAAGCATCTCCTCCCGCCATACTTTTCTTAACTTTCTTTTTCCATTTTATTTCATGCTATTCTTCTAATTTCCTGTCCATTTAGTGCTTCCTGGATCACAGCTGGAGATCAATGTAATTATTTTCACACAGTCACTTTGAGGATGTGTTCTTCTCCAAGTCGTGTGTCTCTACATTGGTACTCTTTGGTTCTATTCGGTAAAGTCACGTAGGTAAAAAACAAAACAACAAAAATCACGACGTTTCGGCCACAACACAAGCGGCCTTCATCAGGTGAAGGGATCAGGCTGTCTCGAGGACAGCGCTGGAGTGAAACAGCAACGCTCAGACCGCGACCTTTAAGCTGTGTGCGAGGAAACAAGGTGCCTTGACAAAGGAATTAGCATAAAAATTAGCATTTGATTGGCCGACTTAGCATAGAGGTGGTGTACATGCGGGTGCACATGCCGGTTGGCGCGGGGGGGAGTTTACCTATTGATGGTGTGAAAAGGGAATTTAAGAGCTGCGAAAGTTTGGGGTACCACTACTTGAAAAATATACTGTACCATTGAAAATTAGTTTAATGTTTGGTTCGATTTAGAACATCTTTCCAATGGTTGCTTAATTTGAAACCATCTTCTCGGTTGAAATTGTGTCTGTGTTTGTAGATCGGAGTTGCCTCGTGAACAAATCTCTGATAAAAACCCGTGGGTTTGCAAAGAACCTTGGTATCGGAGAAAATTATATCGTGATCACCCACAGCGTTGTAACAAAGATCAGTTATGGCAGAAGAATTCGTTTTGCCGTGTTTCAAATCTCATTTGTGCTCGCGAATTCGGTCAGAGACATGTCGTTTTGTCTCTCCGATATAGCAATCACCACAGGTACAACTCAATTTGTAAACCCCGGGGTACTGTAAGTCAGGAATAACATCCTTCACGGATGGGATCAGATCACGAATTTTGTGTACTGTATTGAACCGGACCTGGATCTTGTGTTTGTATAGAATTTTGGAAGTCTCGAAAGTTGTGCCCTGTGTGGCAAGGTTAAATAAAACAAAGTTTAGTTTAAAGTTTATGTCATGTGTATATATGTATATAAACTTGCAAGAAGATGTACATGTCAGGTTACATATGTATTACATCGTGGCGGTGCTAGCACCAAGCCTTGAGAAAGGCCATTGTTCATAACTCTCGTGGCTGTGTTCACCAGTGAGGCATATCCTCAAAGTACATTTGCCGACCATCGCGTCAATTAGGTGTACAGTTGAACGGCTTCGATTTTGGCTGCCAACGGTATCATAGGCTGCAGAGGTCAATCATTGCTGTATTGATTTTCTGTTGACGATGAATGCCAGCTTCTGTTCACAACAGCTACGGCCACTTCGAAATCCGGCTTGTTCGAGAGGCAGTTATGGGTCAATAATGGGGGGAAATCAGGCAAGCATGCACGTTCCATTAGCTTGGAAGTGGAGGACATGAGAGATATCGGCCTGGAGCTTGAGAGTGAGTCTTGCAGGTTTATGGGTTTCAGAATGGGGACAACTGAAATAATTACATTATTTCCGGATATTACCTGTCTTTTGTTTCCTCCTGATGACGATCGCTTGTGTTGTGATCGAAATGTTGTGGTTTTTTTTATAATTGAACATATCTACGTGACTTTACCGAGAGACCCAAAGAATATGAATTCCTGCAGTCACGAAAACTTTAAGTCAATAAATTACCTGTCTTGTTTATGATGGTCCATATATTCCCAGGTTCTTTAGGAACTCAGGACAATGGCCATCACATCCCTATGCCTTGCTAAGACTTTATGGCCCCGAGGGCCCCTTCCACTTCAGTGAGTGTACGTTCACTAGATTATTGCTTCTGGTAGTTGACTCAAAGTGATGGGGAGTTGTTTCTGGACACCTTGTTTGGTGCGATTGTCCATTGGTGTCTTTGAGCAGCATATTGTGTGGGAAGCCAACGTATTTGATTTAGGGTTTGGTAGTCTGTGCTCTGTTGGTTGAGTCACCTAGGTTCCAAAGGAGTTACCAGGCTTCATGGCTTGAGTGAGTAAAGTCCAAATCTGCAGTGAGGTATTTCCAACGTTCTCTTCAGCAGAGTTCAGGGACACTAGCAGTGCGGTGCCCTTGTTTTTTTCACCTTGTTTAATGAACTCTTTGAAGAGATGTTACATTTTTGATTGCCAACATGGCATGTATCTTTACTGATTCCCTCCCAAGAGAGAAATCTCTCGTGGCAAATGTCAGAATTTTTATGAATTTATTGAAGATTACAGGCTTTGGCTCCAGGTTTCTTCATAGCTGGGCCAGTTGGCCTCATGAACTTTCCAACGAGAATGTAGTTTTGAGGTTATGACCGGTATCGGTAGCCCAGTGTGCGTGACTGCTGGTCTGTGTTGGGTCTGCAAATGTACCTATAATTGTTCATGACACAATTAGTGGCTGTCCATTCTTGTCTTTTGAAATGAAGCGTAAGTTCTGGGTTATGCTCATTGGTTTTTTCGTAAAGTCACGTATGTATAAATACCATAAAATACGATTAAATAAATCAATCACGACGTTTCGACCACAACACAAGCGATCTACATCAGGTGTAAAAAACAAATAGCGAGGGAGCATAGAGGGCGACACCAACGCAACATATAGAGAGCGCCAAACTGCACGGAGGTAAATACAACAAGAAGATGAGAGACGAGAATTCAACAAACCTAAGAAAAAATTAAGTGATGCAAAACCAGTCAGGCCAACAACATAGTTAGACACTTGCCTGGCAGACCACGAATTTCAGAAGAGTGCTAAATTTCGTGTTCATCCTCTGGATTGAACATACCAGCATAGACAGAGTACAAGTCAGCAGAAATACATATACAGGGACACCAAGAGGCAAGGAGAGGAAAGGCGGACAGGAAAGCAAGGAAAAAGAAAAAGGGCCGCAGGGATGAACAGACAGAGGCCTTAAATAGAAGTAGAGGTGGGGGGGGAGGGGGAGGGACCGGGTGGCACGGCAGCAGAGGAGGGGTAGGAGAAAGCAAGGGGCGCAATACGTTTAGGACAGAATTGTAAAGGTAACTTCCCCGTAGAAGTGTGTTAATAAAGAATTACAGCTTTCGTGACTGCATAAATTACTCATTGTTTTTTTCGGTAAAGTCACGTATGTAGATATACCATAAAATTATATTAAAATAAATCAATCACGACGTTTGGACCACAACACAAGCGATCGCTTGTGTTGCGGTCGAAACATCGTCAGACCACGAATTAACAAATTATGGAAAATTTCTATGAACATCGAATTTCCGTGTTAAGGAAATTTCACACAGCACACGCCATAAGATCAATAAGCAGCACCCGGAAGGCTGCGTTATCCATCCGAAAACAGTGTCACGGTATCCCTACAATACCGTGACACTTTACCAGTCATTCAAATGCGTGTATTTTTGACAAGTTCCCTTAAAAGGTTGTTTTTCTTTTAAACTATTCAATCGTTTTAATATTTACATTAATTTGATTATTTTTGTACTGGATACCGACCTGTATTCCTTCAGGTTTCAGACCAGAAAGTTACATTTAGGTCTTGAGTAATTCAATATCCAGTTGATAAACTTTAAGACAGCAACCAATCGGTTTATGGACTTTTTTGGCATTTAGCTCAACCAATCCTATCTAAATTCAAATTAACGCTATCCAATTCACCTAGATGACGATATAAGTTGTGTTTAAGGTAATACGAAAACACGTAACAGGTGGCACACGTGAAGACAACCATCTCCCACTCATTACTGTAGAATGCTTGTAACAGGTTTATTTTGAGTGAACTACAGTTTAACACATTGGAAGAACCACTCAATAATATTGATTAATACTGATAGTATAGTAAAGCTAAAAAATAATGCCAAATAGAAAAGGAAACTAATATCGCATTGTCACATGAAAAGTCATCTATAACGTCAGCCTATTAAAAATAATTATGTTATGAAGTTACGTTAATGAGGATTTTGCTGGCGTTTGCAGAGTTGTGTCTGCACACCACTAATAATCATCAGCCATGTCCAATCCGCTGCTGAAGAATGTTTGATAATAAAAAAAAACGATTCCATCTTTTTGCGTACATTTTATTTAGATTACTGTATTTCGTGCATGATTCGATGCCAGTATCATGAGCATAAGTATTTAAGTTAATTAATAAATCGGTGCATGCATGTTAGGTGTAATGTTGTAACGTTCAGATCTGCCCCTATTGGACATCTGTTTAAAGAGCTTCATAGCTCATCAGATTTCTCCAGTATAAATAAATATTCTAACGTGCATCTTTGAATGATTATAGACTTTGACTGCTCGATTGTATCTTGATGCGATAACAGGTCTCTGTGCAATACTACAATTCAACGACAAACGCATGGTACCACTTTTGTAGTGGAACCCTCATCGCCCCACAGTGGGTTCTCACAAGTGGCAGCTGTGCCAAGTAAGTTATTCATTTGCATTCAAGTTTTTAGATATTAATCATCACAAACCTGCTATTGTGTTATGTATAAAGATATACGTTGTAGATATTTTATTATATGTAGCCATGCTTTTGTTTCTTAGGATCAATGGTACTTTTTGTTATTTATTTAAAAATTGGAAGCCCTTAAATGGAATTAAAGCTGTTTGAGTTGCGTTGTTTATGTGAAATCCACAGGCAGACGTATTATCTACGAGTAGTGCTTGGCAAGCACAATATATACCAGCAGGAGGCTGGGGCAAATGTTGCAGAAGCCTACCTAACTGCTTACCATTCCGGATTTAACTACACCAGCCTCGAGTATGTATTACACATCTACTTTTATATAGTGTCAGTTTCTGTGTATCTGTGTCCGTCCCACAAAAAAATGTTTGCATGCTTTTATGGCAAATGATCATTGGATGACCACCCATACTATATTATGAAGAAGTTTTGCTGGCTGGCTTGAAATGCGCCGCCCACGTGCGCAGAGGGGAGGGGGCATGCGGGTGGCCAGCAGTGAGTGGGGATATGCAGTGGGGGGGCGGGGCCGCTTGTGGGAAGGGGTGCGCGAGGAGGGGGACACGGGTTGTGGGGGCGACTGGGGGCGCATGCGGGTAGGAGGAGGGCCTGAGGGTTGTCACGTGCAAGAGGTAGGGGGTGCTGGTGACGTTGGGGGTGGGGAGAAATCTGGTTCAACACAGGTACTTTTATATTTTACTGTATTATTATTAAAAGTTTTGCTGGTTGGGTGGCTGGAGGTACGAATGGTCACCATCCAAAGTCGTGCAGGCTGCTAATTTCATGTGTCACTCGTCCCATAAAAACAAATGCAGTGGCTACAATATTTTCTGAGTAAACCCATTTTGTGTGGTTGCAATTGAAGTCACCCACATATATAATTTCGCTCTCAGAGACACCGTCTTGTCCAGTTATATGCATATTTATTGTGAATAAAGTCCACCGACTCACTGATAACTTAACGAGTAACTGCAAGTGACTATTTTCACCTGGGTAACTTCTGTGACTCTACGTGACGCTCCCTGTGTAGTTGGCTGGCTACACCGGATTGGACGCGTAGTAGTAACGGAGACAATATAACTCTAGGCTTCCAAGACTACAAGGTGCCCAATCCCGGATGATGAAGACGACCCGCTCCAAGATGACGACGGCGACAACAGTCCCTTTGTTCCCCCACAACAGCAGCCCAGAGCCCTGTTCCACGTCGGCTTTTATCCCACTCACGACCTGGCCATGCCCCTTTTCCTGAACACTCTCTCACCGCATCTGGCCCTGTCTGTCTCTGTCTCAATTACTATTTACGACCACTTAGGTCCCGTGCTATCCTTACGTGACCCTGTCAGTGCCCGTCGCATCAATTATTAGTAATGACCACTTAGGTCCCATATTACCCTTACATGACCCTGTCTGTTCCCATCGTATCAATTAGTAACCACGGCCATGGGGAGCCATACTGTCCTTACACCGCCCCCCCCCCCCTCTCTTAAAAACATAGCCGTCCAGCTAACACAATTCCAATATAACTGCTCTTAGGCAGAACCATCCGCATAAGACAATAACCAACGAACACACAATGTGTTAGGACCGAAGAGCAGGAAGAGAAAAAAAATAATCCTACTCATCAAAAGAACAAGGAGAACAACAACCCACCAATAAACCCAACAATATAAATATATTTGCATAATGCATGCAACGAGAACACACCCGATCGTCACAACAACCAGTGGACATTTCGATCAAGTGATCGTCATTTAACACACAACCAAAAACATTTTTTTTTACTAATGATTCATCACCGAAATGTCAAACCTCTCGACCGAGTTATTGATGCTGGTCCTTCTCCCTGGGCGGGTTTTTGTCCTTCTTAGGACAACAAGGGCTTGCACTCAAGCTCTTAGGTCATTGGAAGGTTTCGCGGGAAAAGGTGACAGGTCCTCTGCCGGTGGCCCCTTGTATGTGGTGGGCCGTCGGGGTTTCCCCAATGTCAGGGATTTGGGAATTGCGGGTGGCACAACACATTTTCCTCGGTGTCCGATTACTTCTGCCAACCGCCCCAGCTCGTCAGACACATCAGACCCCGACCACACGGACACTGGGGATTAATTATCCATTCGGGGATGCACATACGCTTCTAAGCGTGACTGGTGGACAAACCAGTGGCGACGTCCCACCTGCACTCGCACGCACTGTGGCCATCGAACGTCTATGAATTCCACAGGCCCTTGCCATGGCCGGTGCAATTTGGGTGACGTATGCAAGGGCACTTGTGGGCAGTGTAGCCATGCTCTATCCCCTACTACCCATGGCTTGCACCCTTGCAGTGTTTTCCTTAGCTGCCTCGCGTGCCTCCGCTACTCGATCCAGCGTGACCTGCAGGGTTACTGGGAGAGAAGGCCTCTTCCTTCCAGAGGCCAGGCCCAATTGGACATCAATAGGGGGTTCACTCTCTCGGCAATACATAAAAAACGGGGAAAATCCCGTGGAGACATGAGGGGCCATCCTATATGCCACCAGGACCCCAGGGATGTGTAGGTCCCAATTTGTCTGCGCCTCATCGACTGCTTGGCAAAGCATCGATGTCAGGGTTTTGTGGAGGCGTTCAACCATTCCATCTGTCTGAGGATGGTAAGGCAATGACCGAATAATTTTCGTGCCTAACACGTCACATACCTCGCGTAACAACTTAGATGAGAAGTTCCTGCCCTGGTCCGTAAGGAGCTGCTCAGGAGCCCCCTTATCCAACACATAACCATGCAATAACGCATCGGCTATAGACGCCACTGTCTGGTCGGGTAGGGGCCAAGCCATTGGCCACCGGGAGAAATACTCTACCCTCACCAGAAGGAATTTATTACCTTTCTGTGTACTGGGGAAGGGTCCCAGAATGTCAAGCGCGAACAGTTCATTGACATGGTGATGGACTGCAAGGGCGGCTGAGACTTTCTGGCTGGTGGTTTCTGGCGTGCACAATCGGTGCAGCCCTTAACGAGGTGGTACACATCTTCTGACATACCAGGCCAGTAAAGTCATTTTGCAGAGTTAGCAACGTTTTCCAAATCCCAAGGTGTAACAATTTATCTTCGTGTACCACCCGAGTCAATGCACCTCGCAGAACTGTGGGAACCACCATGCCATAACGTTGCAACCCCTCGTCCCACCTCATGAGCAGTCCTTCCTTAAAAACTATTCTCGAGACCTTCGCAGGACTAGAGCTTTTGTTCCTGCTACGCACGCCGCCGCAAGTGTAACAAGGACGTATCATCAATTTGTAGCCACCCCCACTCGGCATGCGTGAGGCCCAACATTTTGTCTTCTAGTGCGATCTCCCCAACAGATGCTGGGCCATCCACCGTTGCCACAACATCGGGCCGTTTGGCTCCTGGTGGCCTACACCGCCCCGTACCCGTTGAATAAGCACAACATTCCCCTCAAGGCAATCAGGATAGCACGTACGCATTACTGTGGCGTAACCCTTTCCGGTAATTCACCCAGAACGAGTACTCCTGCAATATTTCCAGCCGATGTGAGAGCTGGCCGGTGGGTTGATCCACCCGCAAGGAGTACTGGAGGGCCGCATGATCCGTACGGACCACAAAATCCCTCCCGTAAAGGTAGGACCTATATCGTTGAACAAAGTGCACCATAGCCAAGAGTTCCCTCCTGGTCATGCAGTAACGTTGTTCTGCAGTTGACTGTACATGACTCCCGTATGCCACCACCCTTTGATACCGTTTTGAACCTGTGACAGGACAGCCCCTATGCCCGTGTCATTGGCATGTGTCTAAAATGAACGTTGGGAAGGCTCTCGCGCAGCGCAAAAAAGGCGCCTTCCTCCCCCTCTCCTCATCTAAACTTTTGGCCCGTTGCCGTCAAAGCATGGAGCAGTTTGGTAATTGTCGTGAATTGCGGAAAGAATCTTCGGTAATAGGACGTGAACCTGACAAAACTGCACACTTCTCCCACCGTCTTGGGAGTTGGCCAGTCGCGCACAAACGCCATTTTGTCTGGGTCCGTCGCTATCCCGGAATCGTACACGATATGGCCCAAGTACCACATGGAGGTTTGCAACAGGTGACACTTTGCAGGCTTCAACTTGAGATTGGCCGACCGCACCTTAGACAACACCGAGCACAACTGTTGCACGTGCTCCTCAAAGGTGTGTTCAAACACAATAATATCGTCACGGTAAATGAGACATGAGTCCCATTGCAACCCTGCTAGGACTAATTCCATTCATCTTTAAAAGGTGGACTGGGCAGAATTTAAGCCCATCGGAAGGCAGTTAAAATGGTACAACCCTTGGGGTGTCCGGAAGGCTGTCTTCGGCTTGGATGACTCATCCAGGGGAAGTTGCCAAAACCCCGACAAAAGATCCAAGGTCGAAAAAAATCGAGCGCCCGACAGCGCGTCCAGGGAGTCATCCATTCGCGGGAGTGGGTAAGCATCCACGACTGAAACTTTATTTAACTTTCGGAAATCAACAATAACCGCAGCGTGCCATCGGACTTCTTTAACAATACAACAGGAGCACCCCAAGGCCTAGTGGAAGGAGAAATTATGTCTGCTGCCAACAAACTATACGGATTCTGTCAAATAAGAGCTGCCGTGCCCATGTTAATATGGTTCTACACCAAGGAGGTGCGACCAATGTCAAATTTCTCCTTACTGAAAACCTCAGAAAATTTGCGTAACAGGGATCGCAACTCAGCCCGTTGTGCTCGGGACAACTTAGGGTTCGCCTCACACAACTTATCCATCCATGCTTCGTCAGCTTCCACAGCATGTACCATCCCACCTACCACCGTCTGCACGGTGGAACCGAATGCATTGCTCCCCGCTGCCGTCGCATCGGCTAGCACCGTTCCCGCCTGAACCACTGCTGGTTTCACACCCACTTAAGTCCTTGCAAGAACTGTTCCTGATTTCCTCTCAACAGTGTTAGCACACCGACCAGTGTAAGCCCCCGGGTTACTGTCTTAGACGGGGTAAGGAGGACCCCTGCCTCCGGATCTGCTAGGTCCAACTGTCGGCCGTAACACAACGGGACCAATGCCTGCGTGCCAGGCGGAATCTCCAGAGATTCCTGACCAGATCCTGAACTGAAATATTCTGCCCTGCACGCCGATGCAGGGAGTCCAAAAAAACATTAGTTGCCCCGACGGCACAATCCTTGTCGGTAAAAATTTGCAGGAGCATCCTGCTAAAAAATCCGTGCCCAAGGGGCAGGGCACAGCCAGCATCTTTGAAATCAACACTGGCCCGGATATCTCAATCTCTGCCCAATCTGATGCAGGCTTCCATCTGCCCTACAATCCCAAAACTCCCCCCGTTTTCCGCCACGCACGCATTCACCACAAGCATAACACAATTCTTGTTCGCCAGTTATTTGTTTCGTTGGTACACTCTATCCATTGTTCACATTTATAAGGGTCATTATTGGAATGTAGCTCTGCTGATATCTGGATTTAAATTAATGACGTCAAATTCACCTAGATGACGATATTAGTTCTGTTTAAGGTGACATGAAAACGCGAGGCTACCATTTCCTGCCCTACATTATGGATAATAAACAAAATCGAGTGTGTAGGTTTAACAATTAATACATTATTTGTTTTACATACCTTTAGGATCCAACCCACCATAATGTGTACTAGTTTTATATCTTGATGCTTATCTCAGATCTTCTCATGCTCAATATCACCCCTTTAATTGTGTATAGAAAAGACATTGGATTGATTAAGCTGAAAGCACCGGTGACGTCGGACATTGGAATACAGTTCGCCTGCCTTCCCAGTGACAATGAGCGACTGTCATCGGCAAGCAGATGCTACGTCATCGGCTGGGGCTCCAAAACAAGTAGGTCGCAACAACAAGGATGACCACATACATTAGGCAGTCACAAAACAAATATGCAATACAGGATTATGATGTACAATGAGTAACATCTATCATCAATGTAATAATAGTCGTAATAATTAGAATGTATTTTTCTCAAAAATATCTTGCCAATTATGAATACTTTTAGAAGAGTCCTCTATTGCAATGCTTGACAACCGGCGTGCTGCGGCACACTGGCGGTTCTGTGGCAAAGTCCGAGGTGTGCGCGGTATTTTCAAATTGATAAACACGCAACGCACTAAAAATAATGAACACAATATCACCGTAAATAGACGATGACATTGGACATTTAAAAAAATGTCTCACACACATACTTAAACACACAACTCCCCCCTTCTTAGTTGATTGGCTTAGTCAGGTGCTCCCCGGATGAATAATTAAACCCCAGCCTGACGTGTCTGCAGTTCCAATTGAGTTGCAACGAGCCCAGGGGAACACACAGTGAACAATGAGACAGCGACACACGTGACTGTGAATATTCCACATGTCCATGATGGCACCAAGTCACCACTGTGGCCTCTCACTTGAAAAATGATGTTTGCACACACACATCATCATGAGATATGATCAATCAACGAATGGATGAAGGGCCCACAGTGATGTTTTGGTTCAGTGTGACATTAAGATTGAGCAAGCTCAAAAGTGTGCTGTGGAATAAAAAAAAGGTTGCGAAGTACTGCTCTATTGGAATGTTTCTACGACATTTTATTTTATCAGGTAAGGCTACTGAGCAATATAGCTCTTTTTTAGAAGCGACCTAGTGACAAAAGATAACTCAATGAAATGGTTTATCGCGTGGAAATGTATCGCATCCCAATACTCTAAACGCATGTCGATTCTAAATGTGGAGTGAAAAACTGGAGGACCTGAAGAAAAATCCACGCGATCACGGGGAGAACATGCAAACTCGAATATGCAGGCATCAGGGTTGGGAGTGAACCCATGACTTCCTGCTTACCAGGCAAGGCAGTTAACATCTCGCCACCAGTTCCATCAATAAAATTAGTACAGCAATGCCTCGCCAACTGCGGAGGTTAGATTCCTGGTAAATGCCACGGGAGGGAAATCCACAGTTGTTAAAGTTCAGGGCCTATGGGAAATAGGGGGTTTAGGGGTACCACGCCCACAGTCAGACTCGTCATAGCTTCACTAAGTTGCCTGTTTATGAACAAAAACACCGAATAAAATATTGTAAATTACACAACATAAATTAACATTACATTTACTTTACATACCTTTATTATGCACTAGTGGGAAGTACCTGGCGTTGCCCGGGCGAAAAAGACAGACACACACATCGACCTACACACACTTACAAGCATTGACCCACACACACAAAGACATCGACTTACACACACACACATATGGACTCACATACACAGACATCGACTTTCGATACATACACATTGAGTTACACACACACATGGACAACAACAACCGCCAATAGCCACTAAGTGGCGGTGATGTCACCACGACGCTTGTGCCAGGCCACGTGAAGTGTCGAACGCCCGCTGGCAGGAGGTCACGGAGCAAACCCAGGTGCCACGGGTCGACTGACTGAGATGACTGGCTGATGGACCACCTGTGCCCCCTACTGTGCCAACTTGCTGTGCTTTAGCCACCCGGTGCTCCGCTCGTTGTTGTGAGCATCACTCCTCCACCCGCCGTTGTTGTTGGAGGGCGACTGCCTTCAACTGCCCAGCAGCGTCTTTCACGAGCCTCCTCCACAGAGGCCGGTCTTGACACCGCTGGTACCAGTAGTCCACTCAGCACCACATCCTCCTGTACCACATCATTCCATCTATTCTCTAGCCCATGCCGCGCCCATTTAGCCCCCTCTATCCGGCCGAACAAAAGCTGTTTAGGCATGCGGTGACTGGGCATGCGGGTTACATGACCCAGCCAATGCAGCCTTGTCTGCCGGAGGAGCTCACTGATGGGACTTTGCCCAGATCTTTCAAGGATTTCTGAGCTCCTCACACAATCCAGCCTGGTTAAACCCAGGATGGATTGTAAGCAGGCCAGCCTAAATGTTTCCAATCGTCGAAGATGCTCCGTTAGGGGGGTCCACGTTTCGCAAGTGTAGAGAAGGGAGGGAATGATCGTAGCCGAAAAAACTTGAAGCTTCGTGTGGAGCAACAGACCAGGTAGCTTCCACACAGCGTTATGCAACCAATAAAAATATAATGCCGCTCGAACTGATTCTGAGTGAGACCTCTGCTGTCAAACCGAAGCCGGTCATGAGCACACTGTCCAGGTATGGGAAACTCTCCACTCTCTCCACAACTGCCCCATCACTCTTAGTGGCATGCTCCAGTTTTCAGCAGCAGCGCCTCCAACTCCTCCTCTGAGTAAGCGGCAATTACTAGATCATCGGCATACATAACGTGGCTGGCTAATAGGGAGCCACCCCATGACCGCATCCGGGCATTGATCAGCCTCCCATTGTATCTGTACCAGATGGAAATTCCTCTGGTACAGCCATCAAAGACTTCACGAACTACGTGGTCAAAAAATATGTTAAATAATGTGGGAGCCAGAGGACATCCCTGTCGCACCCCAAGGTGAACAGGGAATGGCTCCGACTCTCGGCCACGTAGTTTTACCCAGGCCCGCTCACCATCATGAAGGTCCTTAATGATCGTGAGAAGAGGGTCAGGGACTCCGAAAGCACGAAGAACCAGAACCCAGGCCTACTGATGTATCATAGGCCTTGACCAGGTCAATAAAGCAGAGATTAGGTCTTGTTGGAATTCCCTACACCTCTGCTGTATCAAACAGACAGAAAATATGACATCTGTGCAGGACCGCCCTTTCCTGAAACCACATTGAGGCTCCGCAAGCCTCTCCTCAGCGTGCCTAGCAAGGCGATGTTGAATAATCCTTTCCAGGACCTTTCCCGGCACACTGAGGAGTGAGATGCCCCTGTAGTTTTTACAGCCTGTGCGGTCCCCCTTCTTAAAAGGGGGACCACAAGGGCATCCTTCCAATCCTGCAGAACCCGTCCAGTGGTCCAGACTGTTGTTATGATGTCATGTAGGGCAGTCTGTGCACAAACGCCACCCTCCCTCAGCATTTCACTTGGGAGATCATCTCTGCCCGGTGCATTTCCTGGTTTCAGACTCTGGATTGCCTTTAGTACTTCCTCAACAGATGGCACCTCAACCAGCCACTCACAGGGGGTGACTTCTTCCAATATTTGAGGCACACATGGACTAACACACACATGTGTAGTGTTCTGTATTCAGGAGAACGTTGGAGTCTGTTCTTGGAGGCAACACTTTATTAAACCACCTCGCTCGGCAGTACAGTCCCAGTACACTCAGGGTTACTGTCCTCCTACAGCTACTGTCTGGGGCGGGGTACTGCCTCCGGGCTAATGTGCCCTAACACAGGACTACACTCAGGGTCCTCCTTCACCTACTGCTTGGGGAGGTACTGCCTCCGGGATATCGTGCCCTAACACAGGGCTACACTCAGGGTCCTCCAGCTATGGGTGCCTAGGGGGAGGCTATTCTAACTCGCCCTCGCCAGGGTGCAAGTTCTAATCACTGACCCACTGGACCCGGCCCTTACAAGGACGTCGGGCCAGGGGTTCCCGGGGTCTCACCACTGAGCCGCATAGAGTCCCAGCCCTGATAAGGACAGCGGGGCTAGGGGTCTCAGGGTCCTATCTAGCTGGTCTTCGGCTTCAGTCTTCAACTGGTCCAGATCGGCTGGGGAGGTCCCCTTTTATGTCCCTTGCCCATTGAGGGGTGGGCCTGCGTGGGATCCCAGAGCCCCCAGCAGCCCCTCCTCTCTTGGGCTGGCACTGCAGCCCCTCCCCTGAGGGTACGAGGTACCGTTCCATCTATGGCGCTACATTACCCTCCTCTTCGTAGCATCCAGCTGACCCGGATGGCAACAATACAACAATAACCCAGAGGATGAACCAACGAAGTGTATGTGTGCCTTATTGTGCGAACGTAAGTAACAAAAATAACCGCACGCGAACCCTTAGAAATACCCAGCCCACCTGTACAAGGGAATACAGAACATATATACATGAAGACCCCTGCCCCACCCGCCTCTTCGGAACAAAAGAGCAAAAACAAGCGACCGACGGTTGTCAACACGGTGCAAGGTGATTGGTGGCATGGAGGAAAGGTTCGTGGTGGTTCAAGAAAATCTCCGGGACTTAGAACGAGATCCAAAGGCCGGCCCATCCAGAGCAGAAGGGGCCTGTGGAGGCGGGACGCACAGGATGGCCGGTGACCCACCGACCCCCGAATCCGCCGGCACAGGCGGCTAGGATGGCTTAACTCCCGTGGCTCCTGAGGATGGAACGACATTACTGGGCTGAGGGTTAGACTCCCCTGGCACCTCACCTGACTTGTCGGACACAAGACGTTCTTGGCCCATGTGTGGTGGCATGGAGGTGTGAGGAGGAGTGAAAGGTTTGAGGCGCGAGGGGTGCACATACCACGAGCGTTTTCCAAACATAATTCTAACACACTGGGGTCGGAGCATGCGGACAATTTCGACGGGAACCTTCCAGAGTTTAAGCAACTTAGAAGACGTTGCCAGGGACACGTGAGGGCAATGAAGCCAAGCCCGGTCTCCTTCAACCCATGTGTGGCGAGACGTATGGAGTCCCCGCAGGCGTTCGTTAGCCTGTTGGTGCCACTGAGTTAGATTTAATGGCCTCCTGGGCCTCCATCAAGCGGCGAGCGTTGGCGCGGACATGATCGGCCATCTTAGACTTGGCAGATGGCTGTTTGACGTGCAACTGTACATCTACCGGGGGGCAGACTTCTCTGCCATACATGAGGTAGAATGGTGAAAACCCGTAGCCGCATGGGGCACCATCCTATATGCGGCTAGCACACCAGGGATGTGAAGGTCCCAATCAACCTGTGACTCGCACACCTGGTGGCTCAACATAGAGGTAAGTGTTCAGTGGAGGCGCTCAACCATAC